TATCTTCAGCTGAATATGCATAACAAAATTTTAATAACTTTACAACAATAATTTGATAATATTATTTGATAATAGTTTTGAGAAAAGGGATTTTTTCAAACAAAATTGTTTATTTGGAAGCAAAATCAACTTGTTTAGAAATTGTATATATATATATATATATATATATATACAAATTGAAATGTTTGTTGAAAGCTTGAAAAGCCCATAATAGACTGTTGATGCATCTGCCCCATTGTTCGAATCACTTCAGAAATATAAATGTATATTTGTATATATACATGTATATATATATATATATATATATGTATATATATATATATATATATATTTCTGATCTGATGGTTATTTGTTATTTTTGTATCATTATAAAATCTACTGCTCATAATATGACAATGGCCTTTTCAAAACTTCTTATAAAAATATTTATTCACATTGTAACAGACGGATTAATATACAAACGATATATATATATATATATATATATATATATATATATATATAAATATAAATATACAGTAGACATTTGCTATACCCTAAGTATATCGGTGGTTAAAATAAATACCCAAATGCAAAAATATAAAAGTATAAATATTTTTCTTACATATTTATATTGTTTTGTTGAGTATTATACAACGAATTCAATGGTGATAAAAACCCCTAAAAATATCATTTATTTATTGTCAACGTTTTGGAACTATATACGTTTCATCTTCAAAATATCTGATCTTGATTGAAAAGTGAACAAACAAAATCAATGTAGTAAAAAATAAATGAAAATTTAAAGGATTTTATTACAAATGATAAAATTAGAAATATCATAGTACAAACATATTTTTTCCTCTCTGGCAAAAGCACAAAATTTTCCTTTCTCAAGTCGAAAATCAAATTATTACTATTTCCAATAACTATGCGCCATCGCAAAGTCAAAAATCACATATCCCTTATAGTTGCACCCTTATAGTTTTTTCGCCCTATTGGCAAGTCGTCGTTGCAGTAATTAAATTTCGTCAAATGGGAATAACGAGCATATTTTCGGGAAGTAAAATATAATCGCATTTCAGATGTTGTCATTGGTCGACATCGGTGGGAATATTTGACAAATTGTCAAGGGATGAAGGGATAGAGGGATAGAGGGATAGAGGGATGGAAGTTATAGCTTTTGGATTTATTTTGCAGATTAGAAAGGGACTTGATGTTTGCAATATGTAATAATTAGTTTTGTGCCTAAAGCACCAGTTTTTTTCTTCATTGCTGGTATGTAAAATGGATTGCTTAAGTTTTTAAAAATTGCTGGTTTTAACTAGATGTAAGTGGCATTTGGTCTTAAGGTAAGTTGCTAAAATTTTAAGAATAAATCGATAAGAATCAATTATTAGAGATTGCGAACTATTTGTCATAAAATTTTAAAATTTTGACGTAAATTGTCAAAAGTTCAATATCCCAAAGTTCACTTTTTGCCAAAACAACATAAGGTTTGGAGTTTAGTTCTATACAGATCAGAGACATGGACTCTATGCAAAGTCACCAGAAGAGTATTCAAAATGTGGTATGAAAAAGATAAAATGGCCTTTCTAGGTGTCAAATAAAAAAAAAAGAATTTTCGCATATAATAAGGAAAAGAGGATGCTGGTCAACCTCAATCTGGAAAAGGACTTTGATAAATTATATCAAAATGTAGGAATGCTTAATTTGTTTAGAGATCTATACTGATAAGCAAATGGAAAAATTAGATTATGACTCCGTACAGATCAGAGGTGTGGACTCTAGGGATGATCAACATAAACTTCCTCTAGGCTGGTACTGGACGATGAAATAGAATTGAATTTAAAAATATTGCTAGGAATTGGAAAGAAAGAAATCTACTGTCTTCAGAACCATATTGAGAAACAAGTGGTAAAATAAAAAAATGGCTCTGATGATGAACGACTTACCAGAAAATTGAATGTTGAAGTACCCGACAGAAAATGTTTTTCAGGAATGAGGTCTAAATTAATGTTTGCATCGAGTGTTAAATATATTTTCAACCTCCAATCTTGATCAAAACTAAAAAAGGACATGAAGGGACTTGAAGGAAATCGGATCGTATCGACTGACAAAATAATACTCGGAGAGCTAAAGATTCATAATCCGGCGCCAATATGACAGATGTAAACGAAACTCTTCACCGAATCAAAAATAAAAATAATAAACTCAAAAGAAAAAAGAAAATGAGATTCAATAATATTCTAAGAACCCGTATGGGGGCACAGGGAGGGACTAGGAATAATATAATTAATGGAATAATTCTCCAAAATTTTAAAATTATCATACAAATACATGGCAGGAATTTTATAGATTTGAAATTTTTTTTTTAATATGGGTAGTATGCTATATGTATATAGGATAATATTTTATTGTGTGTGTATTTACAAATATGGCATATGGCATGGGCTTAGTCAATTGTAAAAAGTCGTCGGTGGCCCCTAACTGCGATAATGTGTCCGCCCTGGGAAAAGGGGCCCTTCCAACAAATTCGGTACCAAATAGGGCGGCAATAATCTCTACCAATAATAGAAACTCGTATAAAAGTCTATATATATATATATAATAATATATATATATATATATATATATATATTTTGATGAGTTATTTAGAATCGGGCAGTAACACCAAGTAAAAAAACTAAAGTAGTTTTGAAATACTTTATTTATCCAAATTAAGCCAAATTTTAACTTGGTGTTACTGCCCGATTCTAAATAACTCATCAAAATATATATCAACACCAAACTCACATATTTCAATATATATATATATATATATATATATATATATATATATATATATATATATATATGTAGACATTTATAAACTTATATACCTAATATACGCTTACTTCAATATTGTTATTATGCTTAGGACATCTATTTATTTTCTCTAAAATATTCATGCTTTTATCCATTGTCTTTTTTATTTTTTTCATTTTTTCCACAAAATCATTCGAATAAATTGTTCGGCTGCAAAAGTGGCTCGTCTGGCGTCAATTTGATGACTTTGCAGAAATTTTTGCAGCATTTGCAATATCCGTTTGCACTTTTGCACAAAGTAACAATGTACACAACAATGGTAATAATAATAATGGTAATGGTAATGGATTGTTAGATGCACTTATAGTTAGAAAGACTTAAATGGGGCCACTTTAGCGACAATTAATAATTGTTGTAATTAACACGTTGGATGAATTAATTGTGTAAAATGATGGATGATGATGATGGTATAATGTACACTGAGGGTTGGAGGAAAAGAACATCTTGAATCTTTTCTTTACCATCTCACCAGAGTTTTTTTTCCTGTCCATTATATTTTGTTATTGATGAATCGACAAATTTAATCCGATGAAATTGTATACGAGTCCATTGAATTCTCTATTTTGGGTTTAGGTTTTTATTATTAATTCTGTCACGGGTTTATGAACGATTTAAGCTGTTTTGACTGCGACTAACGATAAAACTTTGACACTTTTTTATTTACACTTGAAATTTAGAAAAAAATTATATAGACATCCAACCAATTTAATGAATGAATCTTATAATGTGCATTATAATTATAAAAAATGTAACAACTATAAACAATAAACAAACAACGTTTAAATTCGAATGGTACAAAGAAAAATAATATGTCGGATACTTTTTTAGTTTTGTGCAAATATCTTAAAATTTGTGTTTTATCATAATATATTACAGTATATGTTTAGAAAACTTATACAGTTTTCCAATTTACTGTAGTATCAGAAATATCAACTTCATATTGAAAAATCACAAAGAATTTAATCAAACTTTGAAAATGTCGAAGCGTTGGGAGTCGAAAATTAATAATATATATTGAATTTTTGAGTTTGACTCAAATATCTCAAAATTTGTATTATATTTATATTTATTTTTTTGGTTAAAAAGCTTATAAAATTTTCTAAATTATGGCATTGATATAAAAATATAGTTTCATATTAAAGAATCATTAAAAATGTTATCAAATATACAAATTCAATCAAATAGTCCAACATATGTCCTGGTATAACATCAAGGAATAGTAACCTTCCGGCCACTTTTTTAGTTTTACGTAAACATCTCAATATTTTTATTTTGTCACAATATATTATTTTTGTCACATTATATTATTATAGTGCCTTATTAAAAAATCGCAAAAATTTTCATCAAACATAAAAGTTCTTTAACATCAATAATATTAGGACCACCACTGGGCGGCCTGATATGCCCTTTCTATTTATATTAATCAAAAAAATTACTAGATGTCATATTTATAGACAGTTGTAATTACTTAATGAAAAAAAAAAATGAAATAAAAAAAAAACATAAAAGTTCAATCAAATGGCGTAAGTAAAAGAAGTATAGTATACAGAATATATATGTAGATATATAAAGATGAAATTTCCTTAAATCAAGGGTTGTACTAATGAAATCTCATAGACTTGTTGTGCAAATAAAGAAGTAACATAATTATGGTCAATGCACCACCAACCCTTTCATCCCTTTCTTCATCCGAACGACAAACACAAATGTGTTTCCTGGTAAACAAAAACTGATTTAATATCAGTCGAAATGTCGAAAAATTGTTAGCAACCGTTTTTATCATGTCGAATTTGATTTTGAGGCATTTTGAGGTGTTTAGAAATACGAATTTGTGAACTGTACCAGAAATTTTTATAAGGTGTCTCCCATTGACCAATTTTTACCACAACTTTTTTTTAATGACTAAATATAGCATTTCAGTATTGCGTCTTCCAAAGTATAAATGTATGATACTTATGAATCCAAAAACAAGCATTTACAATTTTCAGTACCTGAAATGCAATTTTTTCCAAACTTGCATTGGTTTCCTCAAACTCAGTCTACCTAGTGACAACCTCAAGTTTCAAAAAGCTCGCAGAATACGCTGTTACGTGTTAATATCTACCTATTTTTGTACAAATAATTAGAGAATCGGACATAATTTTTTTTATTATTTACCTATTTTTGGCAGCGGCCGCCCTGTCTCTTTGCCTCCGATTTTTGAACCAATTTCCGACTTGGGTCGGAGTCAATCCGGTTGCCTGGGCAAGCTCTCGTTTTTTCGTAGGGTTCGGGTAGGGGTCCTGAAGGTACCTTGAAAATAAAACAAAAAAAATCAAATAAAAATCAATTATATAATATATAATTGCATCTTTACCATTCTCTTAAAAGGTTCCTCGTTCTTTCCTTAAAACAATGCGACTTTGGTTCACCTTCGCTGATTGAATAAGGAAGAGGAAACTTTTTTCGGACTCTGTATTTATCGACTGGACCCAAAGGGCGACCTCTTAATTTTTCTGCTTCCTGGGGAAAAAGATAGAAACTTCAAACATGGAAACTTCAAATTAAAACTAATAATTACAATTTTAATTTCTTTCTAAATGGCAATAAATTGAATTTTGCCATAACTCACTGAAATTTATGAGTTCTCAACTTATTTATAATAATATCAATTTTTAGATATTTATGTCGATTTAAAAAAATCACAACTTATATTTAAGAAAATTTAAGTTTTGAATCTGGTAGAAATTTTTATAAACTGTAAACTTTAATATTTTTTTTATTATTATTTATTAATATATTATTTTCATATTTCAGTCAGGCAGCGCAATAAACTGTAAACTGTAATATTTTTTTTATTGTTATTTATTAACTTCCCGAAGGAGAAGTTTAAGTTTTATATATTATTTTCATATCTCAGTCAGACAGGTGTGTCTGGTATGAGAGATTATGAAAACAAATTTCATAAAAATATTTGATTAGATGTTTAACAGTTTTTTTTAAACAGCAAAGATTTTAGTATTTTACATAATTTTCATAATTTTATAACCTTTCTTACTAAATTTTTATTTTAAAATTATAATGTATGTATGTACGTATTGCATATGTAATGTAAGTTCGATTTTTTATAATTTATACGTTTTTGTAGGTTTCAATGACTTAATGGGGTATTCTAGTGTAGAACGATGAATTTTAGGTCATTTTTAAAGTATCGTAAAAGAAAGCAATGAATGTTTTCACTATCCATTTTTTTACCACTTGTTCATTAATATTATTAAAATACAATACAAAAATTAAAAAAAGTTCAAAATTGAAGAAACTGGCAGCTGATAAAGTGGGTGGTTTCAAAAAATTGGCACCTCAGTCTTAACATGATTTCAGCCCTCCTAGCCGTGGGAAATGCAAAAAATAAAAAGATTATTAATCTACAATGATGTCGCAATCGCCCGAACTATTGACGAGTAAAAAATTTTTTTTTCACAAATTGGCGACTGTTTGAAATAAAAAGTGTTTTTTTTACTGTTTTTTTTTTTTTGTGTTTCTCGATTTTTTTAAAAATAGTAAATATTGGAATTTGGGGATAATCCTAGTTCGGGCTATAGATAGGTCTATAAACAAGACTCTCTCAACATTTCAAGTGAATCGGTCGATTAAAACTCGAGAAATCGTGTCAACAGTACTGAAAAAGTCTGTTCTGAGAAAAACGCATTTAAAGTTTTGCGCGAAGCCAAACCAGTATGGAGACCGGGTCATTAAAATGCCTATATCTCCGAAAATAATTCAAATTTTCAAAAACCTTCTCGTACCCATATTCTTAGATAATTAAACTTTGAAAATATGAAATAAAAAAAATTGTTTTTTTTTAATTTCTACACTAGAATACCCCCTTAATCTAATCATAAATGAATAAGTTAATCTAACAATATAATAATTTTATTTCTTATAATTTAATAGAATTTCTGTTTACTTATTTAATATTATGAACATAGTAATAATATTTTTTCTTACATATAGGTAACTATATTCTACCTGATAGTGAGCCTCCAGCCACATCGCTTGCAGCTTTCCATGAGAGTCCCTCGTGAATTTGTGCCTTTCCAGAATCGCATACAACTCTCTAAAGTGCCCACTGTGAAAGGCCACGATGGCCCTGGCCCTCAAGACAGCCTCCGACCTGTCCAACTCCAGAATATTCGGATGGGCCACCGGCAAAGACCACAGGAACCTGGCCAATCTCTCGATGTCGCCGGATTCCTCCAGAGTCTCGCAGACCGAGGACACTTGGTCCAGGGTGAAACTGAGAGTGGGCAGCGGAGGCGCCGGAGGGACCCCTTGGGATAATAGGGGACCCGGGAGGGCCCTTGAGGACATGTCGAGGGGCGCCTCCATTTCAGAAGATAGAGGACATCTTGTGTCATGTGAGTAGGTAATTTAAAGTCATATTTTTTTAGTCAAAATTTAGAATTTTGTCATGTCATATTGATAGATTTAACACCATGAACTTCCGACGGTAAACGATATTGTACTCATATTTTTTACTTAATTATAAAATTTTATATAAAGTACATCATTTTTTTGCAATATTTAATAAAAAAAATCTTGAAAATATATATTTACCATTAAACACTGCACAATTAGTGTAGTTTAATTACCATTAAACACTACACAATTTTATTTTGAACCACTTTTTCACCAAAAGTTTTGGGCTAAATTTTGTTTTTGCGATGTCACCACATTTGACTGACATATTGACACTTTCTGACATGTATGACATGGAATGTGTCATGCATTGACATTGACACTCATTACAATTATTGATAATTAGTTTTTATATTTGATTAAATATTTAATTCCACTGGCATATTGACATTTATTGACATACGATGTGTCATTTGTCACATTGACACTCATTACAATTATTGATATTAATATATATTTTAGAAAATTGTATTAATTAACTGCCACTATTGACATGTATGACATACTAGGTGTCACTTATTGACACTGACACCATTTCAATTATTGATAATAACTTTTAAATTTGATTAATTTAGTTAATTAAATATTATTACATTTTTTAGAATCATGATTTTTATATTAATTATATTTAAAGCTTGACACGTGGAGTATTTTGACATTAACTTGATTGATATGTGTCAAGGTTTATGTCAATACTAATTTAGAACAAAACTTGGTGTTAAAATAGATAAATAGACTATTTTAGATTTTTGCTTTTTGTATTTATTTTGAAAATTTTATATATAAAGTTTATGGTTTGTTGAGCTTTGAATGACACTTGTCAGATAATGGCGTCTGACACTTACTGACAGATTGACATAAGTTGCAAAATGACATCGGGTAATAGATATGTCAGTTTCTCAAGTTTTTTGTATATAAATTATAGTTTTTTACGCATTCACATTAAACTTTATAGACAAAGTTTGTGGTTTGTTGATCTTTCATACTGGTGTACGTGTATGACACTTGTCAGATAATGGCGTCTGACCCTTATTGACAGATTGACATATATGTTGCAAAATGGCATCGGGTAATAGATATGTCCGTTTTTCAAGCTTTTTGTATATAAGTTATCGTTTCTTTGCACTTTCACATTTAATTTGATCCTGGTTTCTAATAATACAGGTTTCAATGCATTTTCAAAGTTAAATTTTAATTGCTGAACAAGAAATTTGACCATCACATGATGAATTTACAAACTTTTTTGGGGCACTTTTTTTAAATTCACTAACACATATGAAAAAAGTTGTTTGATGTCATTGTCACAGCACTATTGTAAAATTTTTAAATGTTCAAAGTTTCCACGATATTTTTCAACATGCAAAATTTGGAGGTAGAGCACAGAAAATATAATAATTCTTGACAGCCTTACTCGCAAAAATAATGATGTCAGAAGTAATTATTATAGTAACAAATTACTTTATGAGACTTTTGCAAAATATTGAAATAAACATCACAACACAACCTCAAGGGCTGCAATAAATTACCAACACTATCTTTTACAATTATCAATTATTATTTAAATTACAAGCGACTTGTAAACGTGATGACTTCTCGAGAGTCGGATTAAAACTGAAATTCCCGCCGGAGGCGTGTCTCGCCTCGTCCGCGATTGGTCGGAATTTTCCCGCCAATGGTGCTGGACGGAAGACTCGACGACGCTTTCCCCACTTTTTGCCTGAAGTTCTTGTGCTGGTAGTCGTAGTTGTTAGGACGTAGACACATGTGTGTATTGTCGTGTGCAAGCGGAGTGATTGTACTCGTGAAGTGATTCGGAATTGTTAAATGACATACTGGATGTAAAATAAAATAGAGTCATGAATATATATATATATATATATATATATATATATATATATATATATATATGTATAAAGAGGTGTTCACATAAAATGAACAAAATGCATCATGCTTCGAATGAAATTACATTGTACGGAATGACTGTACCATATGTTAAGTGCTAAGTGTATTACAATACTTGTACAATATATGTATATATATATATATATATATATATATATATATACATATATATATATATATATTTGTATGTATGTATGTATGTATGTATGTATGTATGCAGTCTTATAAATCATTGACTGTTGATACCTGAACTAAATGATAATAACATAGGTACAGCGTTTTTTCATGTCACGTACAGTGTATATGTATATATATATATATACATATATATATATATATATATATATATATATATATGTATATATATATATCACTCATATATTGGTGTAAATAGTAATTCGAAAACCAATAATGATTATTTTTAACTGAACGGTATAAATATTAGTATATGATATTAAAAAAACGTAGACGTGGATACAGGACAACGTCTGTCGGGTCATCTTGTATATATATATATATATATATATATATCAAATCAAAAATATGAAAATTTAGAAAAAAATTGAAAAACAAGGTCAAAGATTTGAAGAATTATTTTTAAAAAAATTGATAATATTAGAATAAGAGTCATTAATTAAAGAAGCAGAATTTCGTTTATTTTAACGCAAAGGGTGTTTAAAAAGATAAAAAGAACAGATTCAGCAAATTTTCTCAGATCACCATTCTTTTCTTCATGTAAAACAATAGGATTTTTGGTATTGAAAGTATAAACTAATAACATGCATAGTTTTATACTGATTTGGATTTTTAGAATTACAAATATGTTAATTCATTCTCTTGTCTCAACGTCGAACAAAAAAATCTAAATCTTATATATACATATATATATATATATATATATATATATATAGGCTATCCCAGAACTCAACGTATGGGGATATTAGTATTGATCATAACTATAATGGAAAAAAAACAAACAAAATTTTTACCATGCAGTTTGAAAGTTATGAGCTTTCAAGTAGAGCTTTGGTAAAATTGTGGCTGTTTTTCGGTTATTGTGGTCAATTTTTATTGAATATATTTATTTGAATGTTGAATCCATAATTATAAATAACATTTCTAGGACCACAGTCAAAATTAATCATAAAATTTCCTCAAGTTTTCAAGAATTAAGACCTTTTGTTGAACTATGCATGGTCGACTTTGAGAGACATTGTTTTTAAAAAAATGTACTAAAGTGTGTTGGCAACTTTCATCAAAAGTTGACACATTTAATGAAGATTTCGAAATGGTAAAGTACTTGATATTTTATAATGAAAAATTTTGAGTAAAAAAATAAAAACCTAAAAAACACTATTGTTGCTATTTTTGCTCACATTCAGTGCAAATGATTGTCTCTCGCATTAGCAAAAATCATGCCATTTTTAAGTTTTTATTTTTTTACTCGATTTTTTTTATTATGTACTATCAAGCATTTTACAATTTCAGAATCATGATTAAATGTGCCAACTTTTCATGAAACTTGCCAATGCGCTTTAGTAAATTTTTTTCAAATGAGGGCCTTTCAAATTCGATCAAGTTTTAAAACTTTAAATTCATAGTTTTACAAAAAGGTTGATTCTTGTAACCTTGGGGAAATTGTGTCATAATTTTTGAATATGATCTAAGAAATGTTATTCACGGTTACACTTTTCAAAAAGTAATCAAAATTAACAGAAGCATAGTCATAATTTCAATAAAGCTCTTAGTTGCACTTAAAAGCTCATAATCTTTAAATGACGTGATATAATATTTTTTCTGATTTTTTTCTGAACACGTTGAGTTCTGGGACACTCTGTGTATATAATATATAACCCTCAACGTACCATACCAAGTATACTCTATTACAAATTTTATTCACTCCTCAGACTTCATATTTTCCTATAAACAATATTTACACAATACCAAAAAAAGGACAAAGGACAACTAAGGAAGGATTATCGATAATAATATCGATCGCTCCTGCTAATGCGACCGCAAAACCGATTTCGATAATCGCCTTATTTCCACCAAAATTTTATAATCGAAAAGGATTCTGTTCTTGTGCCCTTTTGAATTCGAATCCTTTATCCGGATTTAGATAAAGGACGTATAGAGCGTATCCTGTGCAGATTCTTTTTTCTTTATTTTAAATTTGTGTCCGGTATTTCCGGATTTTGGGAAAAACAAAGTAGACCTCAGAAGGTCATTAAGGGGAGAGCAAATAGTGGAAAATTGTTATTGAAGGTTCCGTACAAACACTTACTCAGGTAATAATAAATACAATGTAATATAGAATTATTTAAGTATTTAGAAAAATTAAATATAGGTTCAGGCTAGAATAATAAAATTTAAACATCATAAACATACATGTATATCTTTTTATATAATTGTTTTATATGCCTTCCCTCTATCCGTCTCTCCAGATATTGATTAATTGAAATCAATTTTAATTACGAATCGATAATAATTATTGATTATTTATTTAATTGATCAATATTGACTTCCATTAAGATGAGGTCAACTATGAGAGAATCATATTCATCTTCTTGTGGGTTCTTTTCGTGGAATAATTGCATCTGCAATTGCAATTATTAATAAAGTCATTAAGTAATTTAGATGTAAGTCATTCTTAATAAAATAAAATTTCAAAAGCTTCAAGGAAAAGAAACTCTTTGAAAATACGATAGAATTCGGATGGATATAAATAAATTTAAAATATATTTAACATTTTTATACTAAATTATACTAAATAATTGTAATTATTGTTATAGGCAGATCGATAAATCCTAAAAACTGCAATATTTGTTTTGTAATTTTAAATTTTAAATTTGTATATATATATATATATATATATATATATATATTTGTGTAGATATTTACAGATGGAATGAGCTTTCGACGTGACAAATTAATATGGGAAATTAATCTGACAACTTGACAACTTGTTGTGCAACTTTTATGCATTTCATATATCATGAATATATATATATATA